TTTTTTTTTTTTTTTTACACAAATGCAACAATGCAACTAAGTGAAGTTCTACAATCATTCTGTTTCAATCGAGCGACAATAATTTTTTTTAGTTGGGAAGTGAACGATAAGAAATTGTCTAAAAACTTAAAAAACTTACTAGTTGCCATGATAAAAAGAGCAGGAGCCCAGAAAATATATTCTGGCGGAAGGATTAGATCTGCAATGCTTATCAAACCAACACAAATTGTTTCAAAAAAGGCACAAAATCAAAAGCAGGTTCTTGAAAATTAGAGCGAATTTTGAAGAGATGAAATTACCTGGGGATTCTTGGGGTAGATTTTTTGGTGCTCGAAAGAATTCGTTTGTTTCAACTCCACAGGTTTGACCAAAGATGTACGTTCAGTTTAGGGTTTTGTGGTTAGGGATTTGGGGTTTTATACAGCAGCATGACTATTAGCTTTACTTTTGTTTTTTTGGTCAATGACGATTAGCTTTACTGATAGGGCTAAGTATACAGTTCGGCTTCGTCAAGAGTTGATTTTTATTCTTTATTTTTCGACCAAACGAGACGAGAGTGCGCATTGACTTTTGTTCCATGACGGCTTCGTGAATAATAATACGCACTCTGATTTAATAAAAAAGAAAATAGAAATCACGCCATACAATAATAAGAGTTAATTATGCTGAGGGGCCGGAGCCAAATTTTGGCAATAATAAAGACTTAAACACAGTTTGATAACCTTGTTCTAATATAATTTTTTGTTATTTTTTAAAATAAATAATCAAATTTACACAAAAACACACATACTAGTATACCAGAACACACTCATACACTCACACATTAATACAATAAAACACAGAGACACATTGATACGTTAGAAACATACACACAAATATACCAGAAAACATGCATTCATGTCACATACACAAATAATGATGCACCAAAATGTACGCTCACACACCCACCACCACTGTCACTCACTACCACCACCACCGTCGTTGTCCACCGCCACCCACTACCATAACCCACCACCATCCATCATCACCCACCACCGACGTCACTCATTGTTAATTATAAGAGTTAATAATGGAAATCACGCCATACAATAATAAGAGTTAATTATGCCGAGGGCTGGAGCCAAATTTTGGCAATAATAAAGATTTAAACACCGTTTGATAACCTTGTTCTAAAATAATTTTTTATCATTTTTTAAAATAAATAATAAATTTTACACAAAAACACACATACTAGTATACCAAAACACACTCATACACTCACACATTAATACATTAAAACACAGAATATACACATTGATACGCCAAAAAACATACATACGAATATACCAGAAAACATACACACGAATATACCAAAAAATATGCATTCATGCCACATACACAAATAATGATGCACCAAAATGTACGCTCACACACCCACAACCACCGTCACTCACTGCCACCACCATCGTTGCCTACCGTAACCCACTACTATAACCCACCACCATCTATCATCACCCACCACCGATGTCACCCATTGTTACCCCACCCCACCACATCTACCACCACCACACATCATCGCCAACTATCGCTGCCACCCACTGTCACCCCACCCCCCACCACCATTCACCACCAGCCACCACCATCGTCGCCAACAAACACCCTTCGTCACCCACCACCATCATCTTCACCACCCACCACCACAATCCACCACTGCCACCATCACTACTAACCACCATCACTATTGTCCACCACCACCTATACCCACCACTGTCACCCCATGATCATCACTATCACATCACCACCTAAAATTCACCACAACCATCATCATTGCCACCAGCACCACAGTCGTCACTATCCACCACAACCATCAATATTTCTCACCACCACTACCACATCTCACCTCACTATAATCGATGCTTAAATTCTTTTCTCTCTCTTCTATATTTGTGATTTAATTTTTGGTATAAATATAAATATATTTATGATTGACAATTTTTTTTATTATTCCTTGTCTTCAAGTATGGATAATAACTAGTTCCAGATAAGCTTGTCCACTTAACAAGAACTTTAACAACGTCTCAATCAAGGGCTAGGATCTCACGGGTATTTCCATTTATGGAGGCAGTTTACACAATGTTCATCATTAATCTAGTAAATTTACTCGGAAGGTTGAGATATTAAAAAATTACCCAATAATAATTTTGTCTGTGGTGAAAAATATGCACTCTCATTTATTCCAAAAGAGAAATAAAAATCATTTCTTCAAATAATATGGGTCATTGAAGTATTATTCAATAATCCCTTCGTCCACCATGAATAATAAGCACTCTGATTTCATTAAAAAACAAGGATTTTTTTTCCTATTAAAATGTTCAAAATGAGACTACATACTGTCAAATAGACGGCCAGATATATAATTACTCAAAGTATGCCAACTAATATCAATTCCAGAAGGTGATGTCTTTGACCACCACTAGTATTTTCAACCTTCTTCTCCAAGAAACTCTATTCTTTTTGGTCACATGCCTTTTTGGTGTATGTATGATCAAGTCACTGGTAGTCAATGACCATACATAGAACATTAGTCCAATATAGCATTGTTGAGCAACCGGCGAGAGATTCATAAAATAAATAAACTATTGATGCATAACGATAAAGGTGTTCAGGGGATATTAACGTTGCAGGTTTGATTAACGGAATCAAAAATAAAATTAATCTTTAACACATCATTCACAAGACTCTACCCGCCTTTTTTGGAGGTGAATTCTAGTCACTCTCTGTCTCCCTCAATAGAAACAGAAAAACTCAAGAACAAAACCTGTAGAGGCAGAAAATTGGTTATACCTCTACGTGAATTTGTGATATGATTTTTGGGAATGAAGTCTGAACAATCTCCTCAACTCTTTCCTATAAAACGAACAAACTATCCAAGATCGAAATACTTCAATCGAAGGCACTCCAATACTTAAGTCAGTAATGGAACAACAAGAATTGTGCTAAGTCTAAGAGAATTCAACGTACATTTCACCTTGATCTCTTCTACTTTTTATAGATCATTCCCTCCTTAGGGTTTCCATGAATTTAGGTTCAAGGTGGCACACCTTCCTTTAATTCAGTAGTTGAATTTGGGAAGTTACTGATACTTCTCTAACAATTTCTCTTGATATCTTCAATCTCATCGATTTTGTTTATCTGATTGCCTAGATTTTATGCGAATATTTATCTTTCCATCTATCGTTTTGAACAGCTCGGACATATCGAATATTGAACACTTTTGATATTCGCCGAACAGTTTGAGACTTGGTTTGGCACAAACCAATCTTTTCAATTGCTTTCCTGAATACTCTAGGGAACTTGGCTTGGTACAAGCCGAGCACTTCCCTTGCTAAGCTATCAGATTCGGCTCAACTACTTCGATCTCTATTCTTGACGAACTGATTGTCGAGGCCCTTTCCGAGGTGCTTCTTTCTAACGACGTTGGCTTGCCTTTGGATGACCAAGCGAATTTGGCCCGAGTTGCTGAAACTCCTGTTCGTGTTGAAACAGATCCTCCAGAACCTATCATCTCCCCTGTTCAAGAAGATGATTCAATTTTTGAGCTCGTCGAAGACCCGGCCCCTAAAAGGCGAAGGACTGCCAAGTCCGAAGCCAGCTTTCTTGCCGAGCCTTCCAATCCTCCATTCTGACCAATCCTTAGAGCAAAAAAGAGGGAAATCACTGTCAAGGACTCTGCAATTGAAGATTTTAATGTTACAGTTGGGATTGCTCGAAGAATGATTTTGCCTAGGGATCTGGCAATGAATGAAGCTCTCAATGAAGTGTCTCATCAAGTAATCCAGCATATGGTTTTGGTAAGTCCTGACTATGACTTCTCTTAAGCTTTTTTCCTTTGAAATTTTTCTAAGTCTTTCTTTCTTCACATCTTCAAGGGTTTGCAAAAAGTCTATGAGGTCGAAGCGTGAATAGCTCGGAAGGACAAGGCAATGAAGGACGCCATCCATGCCCGAGCTTTAGCTCTGGCCAAAAAAGAAAGCATGGATGAGGAGTACACGAAGAAATGAAGGTTCTGTAGGCTAAAAACCAAAGCCTGATCGAGGAGAACCAGAGGCTTTCTTCAAATGTTGAGAAATTGAAAGAGTCCAAGCATGAAATCAACGTGGAGCTCTCTCAGTCCCAACTTGACTACTCCACTTTCCTTGAGGAGTTTGAGCAATTCAAGGCCAAGGCTAAAGGGAAAGAAGATGCTGCTTATAATGAAGGCATGGAGAAAAGCTGAGGATGACCTAGCTCTTCAGATCCCTCAGCTACAAGAGACATTCTTCAGCAGAGGCTGGCAGGCTACATTGACTGCTACCGAGGTTGATCCTTCTTCGGAACTTTTCTTGAAGCATACGGCTCCGAGCTCCTCTCATCCACCTACTCCTTCAAACATTTAAGACTTTTTTGAATGTTTTGAAATTTCTGATGTTATTATAATTTATGATGTACCGGTTACAATGGTCATGATCTTGTAGAAAATTTTTGAAGTATAAATGCAAAAAAAATTTTGGCCTTTCAAGTTCTATAGTTCGTGCTAATGTTTTGAGAAATTTTAAGTCTTCTTTGCTGTCTTGGCCTCTTCTCGGCCCTTATCGAAAAAGCTAAGAACCTTTTGATACTTAGAAAAAGTTGAGCCTCTTTGGAGTGTTGGCCCTTGCTTGGCCTTTCTCAAAGAGCTCGGTTCCTCAACAGGAATCTTTGCTACACTTAGATAAAATTTCGAGCCTCTTTGAAGTCTTGACCTTTGCTCGGCCTTTTCAAAGAGGTCGGTTCCTCAACAGGAACCTTTTTACCCTTAGAAAATATTTTGAGCCTCTTTGAAGTGTTGGCCTTTGCTCGGCTCTTTTCAAAGAGGTCGGTTCTTCAACAGGAACCTTTTTACAATTAGAAAATATTTTGAGCCTAATTGATGTCTTGGCCTTTGCTCGGCCCTTTTCAAAGAGGTCGGTTCCTCAACAGGAACCTTTTTACACTTAAAAAATATTTTGAGCCTCTTTGAAGTCTTGGCCTTTGCTCGGCCATTTTCAAAGAGCTTGGTTCCTTAGTAGAGTTACTCAAAGTCCCCTTGAGATCTAAGAGTGTTTCTACTCTGCACCGACCCGCCAATCTGATTGGACTCAAAACCCATCCC